TATCGCCTACTCTGCTCAGTTTCAGGCGATCTTTCAAAAACCTATCTCTTCAGGGAAGCCTATCCTGCCTTCAGCTAATAACCAAATCTTCTATTTCTCCTATCAGTTCATCCCCCACAGTTATTACCTTTTGTACCACCAACCCCTCCTTCTTAGATTGTAAGTTCCAAGGAGCAGGGCCCTCCTATCCCTCTTGTATTGAACTGTATTGTTGCTGTATTCTCTCCCTTTATATTGTAAAGCATTGAACAAGATGTTGGCGCTATATAAATCCTGTATAATAATAAAAATGATAATAATAATACTGGGTAATACTTTATTAGGTACACCTTGCTAGTGCTAAGAAAATATTCCCCACACCTCTACACCTCTACACCACCAACATGAACCATTCATACAAAGAAGGAAGGATTCATGCTTTCATGTTGATTATGCCAAATTCTGACCCTACTATCTGATTGTCACAGCAACCGGTCTGCCCATTCTCCTGTGATCTCTGACATCAATGTATCACCCTTCTAGTTAGCTAGGGGGAATTAGACTCTAATTGTTAGCTAGGGCTGAGTAGCAGCCTGGGTGTGATAGCTAGCAGGGGCCAAGTTTTGGTCAGAACTGGGAGGCTGTGCAGACCAGTCGTCTGGAATTTCCCCCTGTTCTAGAACTTTGGAGAAAGGTCTAGAAGCAGTGGGTGGATCTGAGGAATGGCTGGTCAGTTAGAGTTTCCTTTAATATAGCATGAAATGCTTTCTTTTGCCTGCAGCTAAGTGATGATGTCATCTTGGCCTAGGCAAAGTCATTTGTTCAGCTCAGGGATGGGTTTATAATAATAAAAGGTTCCGGTTTATAAAAAGGATTCTGTTACTATATATTTTGACATGTCAGGAATTGTATTCATACAAAGGAGAAAGGTTATCACTCCGCATGGGACAGAGGAGGTATTGGCTTATGTGGCTCTAGCTGCCTACTACAGCTCCAACTTTACAAGTCGTCCCTCTGCATTGCACTCTGATGCTTTGGGATGGTGGGTCAGCAAGCCCAGACCGTAATCTACCAGTCACCAAGCCAAGATCTACTGGTTGCTGACCCCCGTCTTAGAGGATCCTGGCTAATTCCCAACAGACGACTTGGCAAGGGGCTAGGACAGCAATGGGCAAACTACGGCCCGGCGGACCTTTTAATCCGGCCCGTGGAGAGTGATACTGTCAGGATGGCTGTCAGGATGTGTGTAGGCGGGGGCAGCGTGACGAACGTGAGGGGAGCTAGGCTCCTCTCACAGTCCGCCCTGAAGACCGGAACGGCGCGGGAACACGGCGAGAGGAACGCGCGGAGCAAAGGTAAGTGAATTGACACAGGGGGGACTTGGCTTACTACTTGGGGGGGATTAGTACTATGGGGGATGAATTACTATATGGGGGATTAATTACTATGGGGGATGAATTAATATGGGGAATGAATTACTATAGGGGGGGATGAATCACTATAGGGGGGATGAATTACTATATGGGGGATGAATTACTATGGGGGATGAATTACTATGGGGGGATGAATTACTATGGGGGATGAATTACTATGGGGGATGAATTACTATATGGGGGATGAATTACTATGGTGGATGAATTACTATGGGGGATGGGGGATGAATTACTATGGGGGATGAATTACTATATGGGGGATTAATTACTATGGGGGATGAATTACTATATGGGGGATGAATTACTATGGGGGGTGAATTACTATGGGGGATGAATTACTATATGGGGGATGAATTACTATGGGGGATGAATTACTATGGGGGATGAATTACTATATGGGGGATTAATTACTATGCTTACTATGGGGGAATATTACTATACTTACTATGGATGACACATACACATCATTCATCTACTCTTGGTCCGGCCCCCGGGTCCAATATATGAACCCATTGCGGCCCTCAAGTCAAAAAGTTTGCCCACCCCTGGGCTAGGACAACCTTTAAGCTCCATGCACACTAGCATTTTTTTAAGCTCAAGAAACACTGGAAAAAATGCTGGTTAAAAAGCGCTGGTAATAGTGTTTTTAGTAGCATATTATTAGCATTAACCTCCCTAGCAGTATTCCCGAGTGTAGCTCGGGGTAAAGTTTCAGTACCAAAAGCGGTAATCCCGAGCTACACTCGGGTTTACCATGCAGCGTTGCACAGGGATTCGGCGGCAAATTAGAACATTTTAAAAAATTACATTTTTTTTTTTAAAACGAATATTACATAGTAAAACATTACTGTACCAAAGCATTTCACATACATTTTGTCCCGAGTGCTCTGCCCTGTCCCCTGTCTGCATTGTTACTGTTCTTTCTGCCTGAAAACTTAGAAAAGTCCATGGCGTCCAAAAAGCGTCCCTTTAGGTCAAAAGCGGTTTTAGACCAGCTAGAGAACAGCGATAGTAAATCAGAACCACTTGCAGAATTGAGTGATAATGATTCGTGGGGAAATTCGTCATCAGACACTGAAAACGATTCTGCGACTTTGCTCAGCGATGTGCGAACTTGGCGCTCTATTTCACATTTCAGTGTTTTTGGTTTGATTATATTATGGAATTAAATTTATTATTATATTATTATTATTTTTTATGATTATTTATTAAATTATAATTACAATAAAAAAACTACATATTTCCATGCAAAAAATGGTACCGCTTTCAGCACCAAAAATCTGAAATAATAATACCGCTAGGGAGGTTAAGGAGTGTTTAGGCGTGTTTAGCGTTTTATTAGCGTTTTTACAGTACATGTTGAAAAAAAAAAAAGAAAAAGCTAGAAAAAAGCTGTTAGTAGCATTCAGGAGAGTTTAGGAGCGTTTAGTGTTTTTTCTGCTTGAAGCCACTCAAAAAAAACTCCACAAAAACAATATTTTTTCTGATCCTAGAAGCTGAAGCTCAAAAAACGCTAATAGCCTAAAGTGGTGTGCATGGGCACATAGGACAACATTAATTAGCTTCTAGGAGCAGAAGGAGGGAAGCTCGGGACTTCACCGGCCCCCTGAGAGAGGACCACCTGTGTGGTGGGGAAAGAGCGGCTCAGCTAAAAAGCCTGGTAGCAGCCACTGACCCACCGGTAACACAAGAGAGGGACCAAGTGAGTAAACCTGCACCCCCTGGGCCGGTATGGGGAAGGAGCACTCTGGAAGGAAAATGGATTAGCTGCTATCCGGGACTGTTTAATTATTTAAAGGGACAGGCACTGGATCCCCTGCCCAGGGATTCACCCAGAGCTGCTGGATTAAGGAGACTCTAGGGTGTGGGATGGTATATCAAGAGGGGCTGGCTAGTTCCAGAAGAGGATTTTTGCTGTAAAGACTTGTAAATAGTTTCAGGAAGTTGTCCTTAGTTCCAGTTCAGTTGGGCATCCCATACGCCCCTTACCCCATCAATGTTTATTATCTCCTAATAAAACATCAAAACAAGCTCAAGGACTGGCTACTATCTCCTGGATGCAAGTCTGAATGAAAATGCGTATTGCCTGGCTGTGCAGGACTATAGGGGGAGCCAAAACGTCTGCAACTCCTAAGGGGAAGGTGCTACATCAACAAGGCATTTTTGTCCACACAACTGCCGCTCACTGGATATTTTCTCTTTTTTGGATCCTACTTTGTAAATCCTAGAGATGGTTGTGCATGAAAATCCCAGTAGATCAGCAGTTTTTCAAATACTCAGACCAGCCCGTCTGGCACCAACAACCATGCCATGTTCAAAGCCACTTAAATCCCCTTTCTTCCCTATTCTGATGCTCGTTTTGAACTTCACCAAATCGTCTTTACCATGTCTAGATGCCTAAATGCATTGAGTTACTGCCATGTGATTGGCTGATTAGCAATTTGTGTTACCAAGCAATTGAACAGGTGTACCTAATAAACTGGCCGGTGAGTGTGAGAACCACTCATCCCACCCACTTTATGGCTTGGTCCTACCTAGACCCTACCTGTAAATATGTGGGAACTGCTCATCACACCCACTTTAAGGGTTGGTCCCACCTAGACCCTACCTGTAAATATGTGGGAACTACTCATCACACCCTCTTTGTGAGTTGGTTACACCTAGACCCAAGCTCTAAATATGCAGGAATCACTCATAACACCCACATTAGGGGTTGTTCCCACCTAGACCCTAACTCTAAATATGTGGGAATTACTTATTACATCCACTTTACGGGTTGGTCCCACCTAGATCCTATTTCTAAATATGTGGGAATGACTCTTCACCCCACTTCATGCGTTGGTCCCACCTAGACCCTACCTCTAAATATGTGAGAATCACTCATCACATCCACTTTAAGGTACAGTCCCACCTTGTGCTTACTTCTAAATATGTGGGGACCACTCATCACACCCACTTTATGGCTGGTCCCACCTAGACCTTACCTCTAAATCTGTGGAAAGCACTCATCAAACCTACTTCATAGGTTGGTCCCACCTAGACTCTACTTCTAAATATGTGGGAACAACTCATCACGCCCACTTTCTGGGTTGGTCCCACCTATATCCTATCTCTAAATATGTGGGAACCGCTCATCACACCCCCTTTTATGGGTTGGTCCCACCTATACCCAACCTCTAAATATATGGAAACCCCTCATCACAACCACTTTATGGGTTGGTCCCACCTAGACCCAACCTATAAATATGTGGGAACCACTCAACCCATCCACTTTTTAGGTTGGTCCCACCTAGATCCTACGTCTAAATAGGTGGGAACCATTAATCATACCCACTTTATGGGTTGGGTCCACCTAGACCCCACCTGTAAATATGAAAGAAACCATCCACCTGTGCTTCCAATTCCTTAGAATGTGCAGTAATTGAAATAATTTTGATGCTGTGATCCCACAACTTGGCACAGGACACAACACCGGCAGAACAGAGAGTCAAGATGTGGGACAGTTCTGGAAAATCAGGACAGCTAACTTCTATGATGGCTATTTGTAGACTAAACTGGCAGCATCACGGCTGGAATATGATTTTGCTGTTATGGGCCACACAAGAAACATTTGTACCTGAATTCCCTGTAGACAGCGTACTTGTGTTGCCCGCTCCAGTCCTCCAGGTCAATGCGCAGACTGAATTCTCCCTTCCCTGTTATCCAGTAGATCTTCTCATTTCCCAGCCAGAACTCTCCCTTCAAGTTTCCAAAACCTTCTTTATACTCTTTCCAGGTCCTGTTAAAATTGACCGATCCATCTTGACGTCTCTGGATAACCGTCCACCCGCCACCTGCCAGATAAAAATGAAAAACTCCACTAAATGATCAGTTTGAATGCTCTGCATACAGTAAACTAGTCAGTACATAGATGAAGTCAGTATATATAGAGAGGTGGCAGGTCAAGGTGCCACATTCAAAATTATGCATGAAAAAAGATTGCATAGATTGTAACTTTCCTGGATTTGACTGGAAAGTCCCACATCTTGGGTATCGTCGATCAAAGGCTAGCAGTGTGATCACCAAACGGCTGGAGAGTGGTACAATAATGAGTGTCTGTAAGCATCTGTGAAGCATGGTGGAGGTTTCTTGCGAGTTTGGGGCTGCATTTCTGCAAATGGAGTTGGAGATTTGGTCAGGACCAATGGTGTCCTCAAAGCTGAGAAATACAGTCAGATATATATCCATCATGCCATATCATCAGGGGGGCATGCGATTGGCCCCAAATTTATTTTACAGCAGGACAATGACCCCAAACATACAGCCAATATGATGAAGAACTATCTTCAAAGATAGTTAAGAAGAACAAGGAGTCCTGGAAGAAATGGTTTGGGCCCCACAAAGCCCTGATCTGTGGGGGATTACATGAAGAGACAGAAGGATATGAGGCAGCCTACATCCAGATCTATGGTTAGTTCTAGATGTTTGGAACAACCTATCTGCCAAGTTCCTTCAAAAACTGTGCCAGGTGTACCTAGAAGAATTGATGCTGTTTTGAAGACAAATGGTGGTCACACCAAATATTGATTTGATTTGATTTGGATCTCTCTGCTCTTCATTTACTTTCCACTTTGTTAATTGATAAAAATAAACTATTAACACTCCTATTTCTGAAATCATTCTACATTTACAGCATTTTTTCACACCTTATAGTACACAGTACTACTATATATATATATTGTATATACACTGCTCAAAAAAAAGGAACACTTTGAAAACACATCAGATCTCAATGGGGAAAAAATCTCCTGCTGCATATCTATGATATGGACGGGGTAATGTGTTAGGAACGTAAGGACGCCCCATCGTTTGATGGAAATGAAAATGATTGACCTACAGAGTGACTGAATTCAAAGACACCCCGAAAATCAAAGTGAAAAAATGATGCAGCAGGCGAGTCCATTTTTGCTGAAATTTCATTGCAGCAACTCAGAATGGTCCTCAGTAGTTTGTATGGCCCCACGTGCTTGTATGTATGCCTGACAATGTCGGGGGAGGCTCCTAATGAGACCACGGATGGTGTCCTGGGGATCTCCTCCCAGATCTGGACCAGGGCATCACTTGAGCTCCTGGACAGTCTGAGGTGCAACCTGGTGGCTTAAACATAGTCTTGCACATCGCCACATGAGGCTGGGCATTGTCATGCACCAGGAGGAACCCAGGACCCACTGCACCAGAAGGAACCCAGGACCCACTGCACCAGCATAGGGTCTGACAATGGTCCAAGGATTTCATCCTGATACCTAATGGCAGTCAGGGTTCCATTGTCTAGCCTGTAGAGTTCTGTGTGTCACTCGGTGGATATGCCTCCCCAGACCATCACTGACCCACCACCAAAACGGTCATGCTGAACAATGTTACAGGCAGCAGAACATTCTCCACAGCTTCTCCAGACCCTTTCACGTCTGTCACATGTGCTCAGGGGGAACCTGCTCTCATCTTTGAAAAGCCAGTGGTGGACCTGCCAATTCTGGTGCTCAATGGTAAATGCCAATCGAGCTCTATGGTGCCGGGCAGTGAGTACTGAGCCCACTAGAGGATGTCGGGCCCTCAGGCCACCCTCATGAAGTCTATTTCTGATTTTTTTGGTCAGAGACATTCACACCAGTGGCCTGCTGGAGGTCATTTTGTAGGGCTCTGGCAGTGCTCATCCTGTTCCTCCTTGCACAAAGGAGCAGATACCAGTTCCTGCTGATGGGTTAAGGACCTTCTACGGCCCTGTCCAGCTCTCCTAGAGTAACTGCCTGTCTCCATCAGCTGAAACTGATTAACAACCCCCTCTGCTACTTAACTGACCAGATCAATATCTGGTCATATTTTTTTTCCCCTGCAGGAGCAAATTGGATCATGCTTTGCTGGGTTTTATTTTTGCCTTCCTCTGGATCAACTGTTGGTATATTTATTTATTTCAGGTACTTATATAGCGCTGTCCATTTACGCAGCACTTTACATATATATTGTACATTCACATCAGTACCTAACCCTCAAGGGGTGTACAATCTAAGGTCCCTAATTCACATTCATACATGCATATACTAGGGCCAGTTTAGACAGGATCCAATTAACCTACCAGCATGTCTTTGGAGTGTGGGAGGAAACTGGAGTACCCGGAGGAAAGCCATACAGGCACAGGGAGAACATGCAAACTCCAGGCAGGAGGTACCGTGGCTGAATTATAACTTTTTTTGTTTTCTCTATGGTTGAACTGGATGGACTTTTGTCTTTTTTCAGCCAGACTAACTATGTAACAATGTAATATCCCAGGAGTTGAATTTACTTGATGCTATACTCTGATTAAAAAGTGTTCCTTTAATTTTTTTGAGCAGTGTATGTATATAAATATATATATTATAGCTCTTCTTAAAGCTGAATGGTACTGTGGTATTAGATATGATGCAAACAGCCAACCAATATCAGTGAACAAGTGACAAAAGCGCTTACCCTCGGTGTCCATATCACAGTAGACGTCTACTGCAGTTCCTCCAGTAGATGGCACTATAGTATAAACTCCAGAGCTTTGCTCCCCTTTGTAATGATGATTAGAACAGTCAGTGTAGCAGCTGCTGGAGTACCTGAGATCTGAAAGAGGACATGGAGGTTTATCTCCTGTGAGAGAAGAATAAGTCAGAGACATGAAGGCCTTTAAAAATATCTGCATTGTTCGTTGCATTCAACAGAAATTTGCAAAGCGACACTCAGGACAAAAGACATTAAAATTGAAGGCGCTTTTTTAGCACACGCGTTCTAAATGTCATTGTATGACTTCTTCTTTTGCCCCAACAAGAAAAAGCTTACAAGGAAGTCAGTGAAAGTCTACCAAGATGGGAACGAAAAGGCACCATACACCGCAGTCACACAGTCCGCAAAGAGTTAATCCGGAAAAAAACGATTGGTTATACACACAATTGCCTTTTATGAAAAACATTTCTCTTTTTAGTCACTTTTCAAAATATCAAATGCAATAATTCAGATCTTTCCAGAAATCTCATCAGTGGATAACGTCCTGTGCTCTCTGCCTGTGCTGTGCTATCAGTTACATTGTTCTAAGGACTACACAACACTGCCCACCTATGTTATGTCCTTTTTGTTTCTGGTCTTCTGATACAGTAAGCAGAGTGAGACCTTTCTAGAAGGCAGGGGTCTCCAAATTTTTCACTTCGAGGGCAACAAAGTATATTTTACACAAATTCGTGAGACAAAAAAAATCAGTTATTCATAAATAAATCTGCAGCAGTGGAATAGATTAGAATTTGACATGCTGCCAGCAGCAGGGCTGGATGGCAGACCTGTATACTCTGCCGACACCTAAATACTGGAGCTCAGGCATGGCGGTTAAACTTCCAGTTTGCATGGGGCCTTACATCTCCAGTCAGAACCCATCCCTGTACATTTGGTCCCCATCAGAATCTCCCCATACATCTGTGTCCCCATCACAGCCCCCCATTCATGTGTGCCCCTATTGGAGTCTCCCATCAGAGCCCCACATACATTTGTGCCCAGGGGCGGAATGATAACTCATGGGGTCCTTGGGCAATAGGGGATCATGGGGCCCCATGTCCTTGCCAAAACTTAAAAAAAGCCTATGAAAAAGGTACAAGGGGCATCTCATGGGGCCCCCTACTGACCCCAGGCCCTCAAAAGGGGATCATGGGGCCCCTGTGTCCTTGCCCAAACTCAAAAAAGCCTATGAAAAAGGTACCAGAGGCATCTCATGGGGCCCCCTACTGACCCCGGGCCCTCGGGCACTGCCCGAGTTTCCAAATGGTCAGTCCGCCCCTGTTTGTGCCCCTATCAGAGTCTCCCCATCAGAGCCCCACGTATATTTGTGCCCCTATCAGAGTCTCCCCATCAGAGCCCCCCATACATTTGTGCCCCTTTCATTGTCTCCCTGTATATCACTGTTCCCATCAGAGCCCCCCATACATTTGTGCCATTATCAGAGTCTCCCCATACACCACTGTCCCCATCAGAGCCCCCCCCCCCCCCCCATACATTTGTATCCCTATCAGAGTCTTCCCATACATCACTGTCCCCATCAGAGCCCCCCATACATCACTGTCCCCATCAGAGCCCTCCCCCCATATATTTATGTCTCCATCAGAGCCCCCAGCACATCCGTGTCCCCATTAGAGCCCCCCATGCATCTGTGTCCCCTTCAGAGCCTGCTGCACATTTGTGTCCCAATCAGTGTATGGGTGGGTGCAGCATGATGCGGTCCAGTTACAATGAACAAACTTGTATTGAAGGAACAGTTCAAAGATACAAACAGCACAGCGGGAAGGATCCCGGCTGGGAACACTCACAGATCTGTGCAAAAATGTAGAGCGTAGCAGGATTTGATGAACCCACAGCATCTGTCTCCTATGGTGGAGTGCAACTTGGCCAGTCTGAGGATTCCTAGGAAGGATAGCATGTCCCTATCTTGTCCCTACTCGTCCAGAACCTTTCCCTACTGATATTCACTTGCCCTGACTGATGGGCAACCTGTCTCTATCCTGTCCCTACTCGTCCAGAACCTTTCCCTACTGCTATTCACTTGCCCTGACAGATGGGAAACCTGTCCCTACTCATCCAGAGCCTTTCCCTACGACTGATGGGCAACCTGTCCCTACTCTGTTCACTTACAAAATGCATGCCAAGCCTTAAATAAACTCTGCCTGAACCAAGATGGCCACCAGAGTCACATGGGATAGCAGCATCCAACCAGATCACTTCCTCAGCGACCTAGGTAACCATAGAGGAATATGTTCCTCTTGACTTCTTCTCCCGCTGCAGTTGAGTGCCACCTGCAGTGGAGAAAAGAAACTGCACCTCCCTACAAGTACCCCCCTTACAGATTTACAGATTTGTGTTCCCATCAGAACCTCACACACACACACACACACACACACACACACACACACTCACATTTGTGTTCCTATCATAGTCTCCTAAACATTTGTGTCCCCACCACCCATCAGAACACACTGGTGTCCCAATCAGTGCCTCCTTTGCATATCTGTGTCCACATTTGTGAGGTCAGGCACTGATGTCGGGGGAGGAGGGCTGGCTCGCAGTCTCCGCTCTAATTCATCCCAAAGGTGTTCTATGGGGTTGAGGTCAGGACTCTGTGCAGGCCAGTCAAGTTCCTCCACCCCAAACTGGCTCCTCCATGTCTTTATGGACCTTGCTTTGTGCAAGAGTCCCCTTCACTGGAACTAAGGGGCCAAGCCCAACCCCTGAGAAACAACCCCACACCATAATCCCCCCTCCACCAAACTTTACACTTGGCACAATGCAGTTAGGCATTGTGCCAAGTGTAAGGAAGGAATTGAAATCTAATAAATGAAATGGGCAGGCCAGGGGTAGCCAGGCTGGGAAGGAATGAATGAAATGATGCTGGACACCTATAGCCAAGAAATGAAGCAGAGCTCTCTCTGACTTGCTGCAGCTTCTAATGCACACACTGAGAAGCTCACAGTGTGCAGTGAAATCAGAGTAAGCCATTTCAGTCCAGGAGAGGAGCCGGTACAACTGTGTGAGACTGTAGGGAAGGCTGGAGGTCACCCAAAGTTTTTCTAACATGACTATGTTCTTATAGTGTGCTGTTACTTCAGGTAGCTCCCTGTGCACATACAAAAAAAGAAGAGACAAGTTACCTGCTGGATGTAGCTGATGGCTCTGCAGTGCTGCAGGAACAAGACATGAGGAGTTCCGGTTGGACCCATCGATCACCAGGGACAAATTGCGTACCTGGGCCTGAATGTCGTAGATGTAGGTTGCCTGTAGGTGCTGCAATGTGCTGCTCTCACTGGCCCAGATCTCCAGGCTGTTCACCCTGTGCAGGAGTGACGAGTTCTGATTGATGTTCTCAGGCTACAAAGAGAAAATGGCAGACTTTTTAAATGAAAGCTAAAGGATTTCCTGTCCCTATGGTGTCCCATATGTCCAGATTTAAGGACTTATTTCTCCTGACCCAATCTTTGTAGTGTGCCCCAAGGGGTAAAGCAGATGGAGTACTTTATCCCATCTTCCTAGGTGTTGTCTAAGGCCATCTGTGAGGTCACACCAGGCACCCCTCCTCCCTCCACGACTGTTCGAAAACACAGCTAGCAAGGAGATGGCTGCATTGACAGATGGCAGTTTTCTCTATCTCCAAGCATTTGTCCGCCTCCCCCAAGCATAAGCCACCCACCCCTGCATTCCTTGTGAGATACTTGACAAGTGTTTGGAGATATGGAAAACTGTCATCTGTCAATGCAGCCATCTCCTTGCTAGCTGTGTTGTTGGACAGTCGTAGAGGGAGGAGGGGTGCATTGTGCAGCCATCTTCTTTCTAGCTGTGTTGTCGGTCAGTCGTGGAGGGAGGAGGGGTGCCTTGTGCAGTCATCTCCTTGATAGCTGTGTTGTCGGACAGTCATGGAGGGAGGAGGGGTGCCTTGTGCAGCCATCACCTTGCTAGCTGTGTTGTCGAACATTTGTGGAGGGAGGAAGGGTGCCTGCTGCAGCCATCACCTTGCAGTTGTGGAGAGAGGAGGGGTGATTTGTGCAGCCATATCCTTGCTAGCTGTGTTGTCGGACAGTCGTGTAGGGAGGAGGGGTGCCTTGTGCAGTCATCTCCTTGCTAGCTGTGTTGTCGGACAGTCATGTAGGGAGGAGGGGTGCCTTGTGCAGCCATCACCTTGCTAGCTGTGTTGTCGGACAGTCGTGGAGGGAGGAGGGGTGCCTTGTGCATCCATCACCTTGCTAGCTGTGTTGTCGGTCAGTCGTGGAGGGAGGAGGAGTGCCTTGTGCAGCCATCATCTTGTTAGCTGTGTTGTCGAACAGTCGTGGAGGGAGGAAGGGTGCCTGGTGCAGCCATCACCTTGCAGTCGTGGAGAGAGGAGGGGTGATTTGTGCAGCCATATCCTTGCTAGCCGTGTTGTCGGACAGTTCTGGAGAGAGGAGGGGTGATTTGTGCAGCCATATCCTTTCTAGCTGTGTTGTCGGAAGTCTTGGAGGGAGGAGGGGTGCCTTGTGCAGCCATCACCTTGCTAGCTGTGTTGTCGGAAGTCTTGGAGGGAGGAGGGGTGCCTTGTGCAGCCATCACCTTGCTAGCTGTGTTGTCGGACAGTCGTGGAGGGAGGAGGGGTGCCTTGTGCAGCCATCACCTTGCTAGCTGTGTTGTCGGACAGTCGTAGAGGGAGGAGGGGTGCCTTGTGCAGCCATCACCTTGCTAGCTGTGTTGTCGAACATTTGTGGAGGGAGGAAGGGTGCCTGCTGCAGCCATCACCTTGCAGTTGTGGAGAGAGGAGGGGTGATTTGTGCAGCCATATCCTTGCTAGCTGTGTTGTCGGACAGTCGTGTAGGGAGGAGGGGTGCCTTGTGCAGTCATCTTCTTGCTAGCTGTGTTGTCGGACAGTCGTGGAGGGAGGAGGGGTGCCTTGTGCAGCCATCATCTTGTTAGCTGTGTTGTCGAACAGTCGTGGAGGGAGGAAGGGTGCCTGGTGCAGCCATCACCTTGCAGTCGTGGAGAGAGGAGGGGTGATTTGTGCAGCCATATCCTTGCTAGCCGTGTTGTCGGACAGTCGTGGAGGGAGGAGGGGTGCCTTGTGCAGCCATCACCTTGCTAGCTGTGTTGTCGGAAGTCTTGGAGGGAGGAGGGGTGCCTTGTGCA